CAAGTCTATGATCACACAGGGTTAGCTGATAATAAAATACCCTATGAAAAAATGGAATTTATTTAATGTTTCTTATTATAATCCTAAATTATTAGATATATTTTAAATTTATATTTCAATTTATTTCACTCTTTGCGATCATTAGATATAAGCATTCAACAATATTTTTAAAAATATGGGTTCCTTTATTTTTAGTTAGATTAAAAATATTATTTGCTATCACAATTCCAATCTATATCAACAAGTAAAATTTAATATAATTATTTAACTTTTTTTTTTAAATTTAATTTTGCTATTTATTTATTTTATTTTCTTAAAACTTTTACATGCAAGTAATTTTTTCTTTACAACTATTCAGACCAACAGGGCATTCCGTATTCAACCATACCCCAGATATGAGATTCAGTTGTTTCTTAAGCCCGTATCTGGGCTCAGGTTCTTTCGCACCGGCATGACAAAGCACTTATTGTGAGATATCTCTTTATGTGAGTCTGTGTAAACATGCCAGCTGAGTTAAATCAATTAAAATACAATTGCATGGACATGATACGTTCGACATTTATATTGAAGGTTACAAGAGCACGTGAAATCGGGCTGACTAATTAGCCCCGTGAAATAGTTTAAGATAAAAGCTGTTGTCCCTGTAACTGTTATACTTACATACATTTAGCATAAAATATATTTTAGATTAGCTATTACGCATAGTCGGGCTGAGACGGGGAGTTACAGCAATATCAAACCGGAAGTTTTAGTCATCGTATTACAATTTCTATACATATCACTTAAACTTCAACTTGGACTTGTCAAAGAACGACATAGAAAAACAAGTAAGAAAGCTCCAGTCGAGACTGCTCGACTAGGAGATACCCTGAACCCTCCAAGCTGATATCATAGAATATTCTAATCATTCTGCACTTCTTTTATGCACACATACATACACATGCATCCACACGCACGCATAAGCCTGCGCTCTGCTAACTGCGCAGTAAGCAGCGACTGCGCTTGGGCTGCGCTGCAGTGTGGGCAATATTATGAGAATTTATTTGTTGAATAATTTCTTTCGTAGACATACGATCTTAATGAAACTTTCAGAGCGTAATCATATNCACGAGTATGCATGCCAAATTTCAGCTCTCTAGCTCTTATAACTTCTGAGATCGACGCACTCATACGGACGGACGGACGGACGGACGGACGGACGGACGGACGGACGGACGGACGGACGGACGGACGGACGGACGGACGGACAGACGGACAGGGCTATATCGACTCAGCTCGTCGCGCTGATCAAGAATATATATACTTTGTGGGGTCTGCCACGCCTCCTTCTGCCCGTTACATACTTTTTCACAAAACCATTATACCCTGATTTCCCATTTTCAATGGGTTCAGGGTATAAAAATCACCGACTGACAACAATGCCAGATTTGTTTTTCTAATTACCCGACATGAGGAAATCCAGAATCGATATAGAAAATCGAACGTCAGTCGATCGATAATTACAATTGACGTCGATTCCCACATTGGATTAGCAACACGTGTGAACAATGAAAAGGTTAACATTGATATTTTATCATATACCTCTCTCTCTCTCTCTCTTTTTTCTCTCTCCCACTCTCTCTCTCACTCTCGCTCTTTATAGTTATATACATATGGAATGCATGATTCTAACAACAAATTAGCTGTTATTAACCACCTATGTTTATTGCATTGCACAAAGTTCGAACTCTTATAGGTATTACATCAAAATTCCCTATATCATATCATCATCATCACCATCATTATCGTTATTGTCAACTCATCGTTGGCTTGCTTCAATCATAAATCAAACAGACAATTGGCAAACAAGTTCTCTCGAATGCAAATCATCAAGATCTTCACGCAAATCGCATTGCTGATTCAGCTAAAAGTTTAGAACATAGAAAATGATAAATGTATCAGGAGGTTGCTGAGAAATTCTGAAAGTTGCGTGAATTAGAAATATGTGAATTATTATATAGAATTATTCTATGTTGACTTAGTTTGTTTTTGGGACAGATTTATTAATCAATAATAATCAATAATAATTAATCAATATAAATTAAATATTTTTTTCTGGGATTACACAATTTATTTTATATAAATTTATTATGAAAATGTTACACAAATTTTTTATGAAAATTTTTACATAAATTTTTAATAATTAAAAACATAATTAAACATTAAACATTAATTGCATAAGTGTTATACATAATATTTATTAAAAGTACCTTGATTTAGTAAATTGATGTTCAAGTAAATAAATTAAATTTATTTATAGTACTTAAATTTAAAATATTATTTTTTTTTTTTTTAGAAATTTCTTCAAAATGGTAATATATATTTTTTGCCTAGTAAATCAAATCTAAAATATGTTTAGCTTAAATCTAAAATTCTTTAACCACCGGTATTATTAATGTTATTTTATTTCTATAAGTTCTTTAAAATACCTGATTATCTAATTAATTTCTTTTCTATTCTACCAAAGCTTAAATTTTATTTTTTTAAGTTTGCGTAAATGTATTTATATATTATAAAATCATGTTATAAATTTATTAAATAATCACAAAGTTGTTGCATTTTTTGTGTAGCAATAAATAATCTGAGCAATTACATTTATATTCAATAGCTATAAAACATCAATAATCTCATTATATATTATAAAAGCAGTTGAGTTAATCAATTTTTTGATACTAGAACAGCTTTTAAGAAACCCCGCTTTAAGACAACAATTTCGAAGCTTTAAAGCAAATACATAAAAATTAAGGGAAACCCGTAAAAACATCTTTAAAATTAGAATGACTGAATGTATATATAAAACTATTGCTAAAGGCTTTGTTATATTTTGTTGTTATTACTAGAGTGGAAGTTGAATTTGTTAGTATACTACTAAATATACTATATACTATAAAATACAAAAAATGCTTTAGAAATAAACAACAACAAATTAAGCCAAGAAAAAAAAAATCTGGCACAAAATCCAAAATACTCTTGTATAACTAACAGACCAAGTTTTAAAAACCTGACTTATTTAATGTCCAAAACCAGATTCAAGCAGCAAAGCCAAAGAAAGCCAATTGGCTGCAATTACGACGGATTTTATGTGGACATACTTTGCTGAAGTTAGATTAGACTTCTGTTATGAATGCCTGAAGTAAATATAAGAGTCTGCCATAAAAATGATATAATAAATATATATA